TCAAGAATGTGAAACCTTCTCGGCGGTCCCAATTGTCTTTAATTTTAATGTGAAACCTTGTCAAGGCTCCCAACTGTCTTTTTTAAAATGTAAAACCTCCTCTGGGGTACCAACTATCTTTTTAAAAATGTAAAACCTTCTCGGGGGCGATAAATATTCATTTTTTAAGAAGGTGAAACCTTCTCGGGGGTCCCAACTGTATTTTTTTTTTTAATGTAAAACCTTCTCGGGGGCTCCAAATGTCTTTTTTTTTAATATAAAACCTTCTCGTGGGTCCCAAATGTCTTCTTAAAAATGTATAATCTTCTCGAGGGGCTTAAAATGTATTTTTTTAAGAATGTGAAACCTTCTCGTAAATCTCAACTATCTTTTTTAAAAATGTAAAACCTTCTCTGGGACGCCAAATGTATTTTTTCAAGAATGTGAAACCTTCTCGGCGGTCCCAATTGTCTTTAATTTTAATGTGAAACCCTGTCAAGGCTCCCAACTGTCTTTTTTAAAATGTAAAACCTCCTCTGGGGTACCAACTATCTTTTTAAAAATGTAAAACCTTCTCGGGGGCGATAAATATCCATTTTTTAAGAAGGTGAAACCTTCTCGGGGGTCCCAACTCTATTTTTTTTTTTTTAATGTAAAACCTTCTCTGGGGCTCCAAATGTCTTTTTTACTTCCCGAGCGTAAGCAAAGGAAGTATTGTAATCGAGTCCGTCGGCCGACTCTCTACTTTTACGTTTTCTCGATCTTTCATGACCCCTAGAAGACGAAGAAATAGGTCTCCCATTTCCGTCTGTCCGTCTGTCCGTCCGTCTGTCCGTCTGTTGTCCCGGATTTTTATTAGACAGATAATCTCCGAAAGTACTCGACCGATTGTTGTGAAATTTTGTACTTATATTAAGAATATCATGTAGATGGTAAAACGCTAACCAAAATTTGTCTAATCATCCCCACCACTAATGCGATGACGTCACTTCAAAATTGTACATAGTAAATGGGTTTTCAATTGTATAAAATAACATAGTCCTACACATGTAGTTTACAACTCTGAATCGACTTTTCACCCGAAACGTCCAGATTTTTGAAAAAAAAATCAAAATTATAAAACAACATTTTGAAATTTAATTTTTAATCTGCTAACCAGAATGCTTTGAAATGTTGCAGATGTTTTAAGGCTATAAAGAGCATCATAAATCTTTAGTCAAAAAATATTTGCTTATCCCCTCCAAAAACTTGATGACGTCAGCTCAAAAGTTTGTGGAATAAATCATATCTAAAATGTACAAAATATGATGAGTCTGTACTTGTGATCTATCACTCCATTCATATTTTTTGGATTTGCATATACAGGGTGACTCAAAAAAATTAATGAATGCGTAAATATATTTTATTGATTTAATCAGGAACTACAAAACCGAATGCTCTGAAATCTTGCAGATGTTTTAAGGTCATAAAGAGCATAATAAATGTTTAGTCAAAATATATTTGCTTATCCCCTCCAAAAACTTGATGACGTCAGCTCGAAAGTTTGCCGAATAAATCATATCTAAAATGTACAAAATATGATGAGGCTGTACTTGTCATTTATCACTCCATTCATATTTTTTGGATTTGCATATACAGAGTGACTCAAAAAAATTAATGAATGCGTAAATATATTTTATTGATTTAATCAGGAACTACAAAACGGAATGCTCTGACATCTTGCAGATGTTTTAAGGTTATAAAGAGCATAATAAATGTTTAGTCAAAATATATTTGCTTATCCCCTCCAAAAACTTGATGACGTCAGCTCGAAAATTTGCCGAATAAATCATATCTAAAATGTACAAAATATGATCAGTCTGTACTTGTGATCTATCACCCCATTCATATTTTTTGGATTTGCATATACAGGGTGATTCAAGAAAATAAATGAAAGCGTAAATTTACTTTACTCACACACACAATAGGCATGCAGTCGTCAAGTTTCCGACAGCGAGGGAAGTACTGTCTAAACTCTTTAGACCAATTTTTTTTAATCTGCTAACCAGAATGCTTTGAAATGTTGCAGATGTTTTAAGGCTATAAAGAGCATCATAAATCTTTAGTCAAAAAATATTTGCTTATCCCCTCCAAAAACTTGATGACGTCAGCTCAAAAGTTTGTGGAAAAAATCATATCTAAAATGTACAAAATATGATGAGTCTGTACTTGTGATCTATCACTCCATTCATATTTTTTGGATTTGCATATACAGGGTGACTCAAAAAAATTAATGAATGCGTAAATATATTTTATTGATTTAATCAGGAACTACAAAACCGAATGCTCTGAAATCTTGCAGATGTTTTAAGGTCATAAAGAGCATAATAAATGTTTAGTCAAAATATATTTGCTTATCCCCTCCAAAAACTTGATGACGTCAGCTCAAAAGTTTGTGGAATAAATCATATCTAAAATGTACAAAATATGATGAGCCTGTACTTGTGATCTATCACTCCATTCATATTTTTTGGATTTGCATATACAGGGTGACTCAAAAAAAATTAATGAATGCGTAAATATATTTTATTGATTTAATCAGGAACTACAAAACGGAATGCTCTGACATCTTGCAGATGTTTTAAGGTTATAAAGAGCATAATAAATGTTTAGTCAAAATATATTTGCTTATCCCCTCCAAAAACTTGATGACGTCAGCTCGAAAGTTTGCCGAATAAATCATATCTAAAATGTACAAAATATGATGAGCCTGTACTTGTCATTTATCACTCCATTCATATTTTTTGGATTTGCATATACAGAGTGACTCAAAAAAATTAATGAATGCGTAAATATATTTTATTGTTTTAATCAGGAACTACAAAACGGAATGCTCTGACATCTTGCAGATGTTTTAAGGTTATAAAGAGCATAATAAATGTTTAGTCAAAATATATTTGCTTATCCCCTCCAAAAACTTGATGACGTCAGCTCGAAAATTTGCCGAATAAATCATATCTAAAATGTACAAAATATGATCAGTCTGTACTTGTGATCTATCACTCCATTCATATTTTTTGGATTTGCATATACAGGGTTATTCAAGAAAATAAATGAAAGCGTAAATTTATTTTACTGATTTACTCAGGAACTACAAAACCGAATGCTTCGAAATCTTGAAGATATTTTAAAATTATCATAAGCATGGTAAATTTTTGATCAAAACGTATTTGGTCGTCCCCCCTAAAAAATTTATGATGTCACCACAAAATTTTGCTGAAAAATTCCTATCTAAAATGTACAAAATATGGTGAGTCTCTTCTTGTGATTTATCATTCCATTCAAATTTTTTCGATTTGCATATACAGGGTGACTCAAAAGAATTAATGAATGCGTAAATTTATTTTATTGATTTAATCAGGAACTACAAAACCGAATGCTTTGAAATCTTGCAGATGTTTTAATGTTATAAAGAGCATAATAAATTTTTAGTCAAAATATATTTGGTTATCTGCTACAAAAAACTGATGACGTCAGCTCAAAAGTTTGCCGAATAAATCGTATCTAAAATGTACAAAATATGATGAGTCTGTACTTGTGATTTATCATTCCATTCATATTTTTGGATTTGCATATGCAGGGTGACTCAAAAAAATTAATGAAGGCGTGAATTTATTTTATCGATTTAATCAGGAATTACAATACCGAATGCTTTGAAATCTTGGGAATATTTTAAAGTCATTATAAGCATGGTAAACTTTTGTTCAAAATGTATTTGTTCATCCCTCCTAAAAAAATTGATGACGTCACCCTTAAATTTTGCTGAATAAATCCTATCTAAAATGCAAAAAATATGATGAGTTTGTACTTGTGATTTATCATTCCATTCATATTTTTTAGATTTTCTTAAGAGGTGGTTCAAAAAAATTAATGAAGTCAATTTATTTTATTGATTAAATTAAAGGCAACACTTATTATTAGTATTACACCCCAACCAACCCAATTTGGTAGACACAAAATTTGTTAAAGGAAAAACTCGGTTGAAACATAAGGGTAGCACGCTTATTTACATCGACTTTAACATTACAGACCTGCATTTGTTTTATCGCTCACTTGGTTCCGCGAATGTGAAATAGACATGTTTATAATCAACCAATTGTGAATTTCACCGTCAAGAATTAAAATAAAACCCAATGTTTTATATAATAAGCGGAAGTCGAAGCAATAAAACCGATGGTCGTTTTGTTTACAGTTTCTCTGTTTGACTCTCACGTATGCTGTTACGCCTGTCATCTTAAATTAAGAATGTTTATACATACACGATTTTCAGTTGCCTCTGATACGTATACGTGAGTAAATTGTTTCGTTATTTTATTGATTATTACAAATCAATATTCAAAACGACCCAATTCATTTTCCCGAAAATTTGAGAATATAATAATTTTATTCTTAGTATTACACTACATCTATCCCAACTGATATACGTGTCCTTGCAAAAATGTTGATGACGTCATCGCAATTTTTTTTTTAAATTCCCACTACAAAAATGTAATGAGAAAAAAAACACAATAGGCATGCAGTCGTCAAGTTTCCGACAGCGAGGGAAGTACTGTCTAAACTCTTTAGACCAATTTTTTAAGAATGTGAAACCTTCTCGAGAGTCCCAACTGCTTTTTTTAATGTAAAACCTTCTCGGGGGCCCCAAATATCTTTTTTTTTATGTAAACCTTCTCGGGAGTTCCAAAAGGTTTTTTTTAAAGTAAAATCTTCTCGGGGGGGCCCAAATGTATTTTTTTAAGAATGTGAGAGCTTCTCGGGTGAAGGGTCCCAACTGTCTTTTTTAGAGACGTTTGGCAGTTCTCATCCATAACCTGTTGGACATTGTCAACAACCTCGGCGATTCGTTCTGTTAATGCGCGACTTCCTGATTTCCTCTTAATGCTACCAGTCTCACGAAATAATTTCACACATAACCAACTATCCTTAAAAAATTAGCTTCAGGAACAGAGTTATCCATCATTGTGACAGTCCGACTTTTCCAGATATCGATAAGATCGAAGACTCCGACGAAGAAGACTACTCGGCCAGCGTGAACGCCATAATTCAGCGCAGGGCCTCAACAAGAAAATCCCGGCGCCGCAGCAGCCGAAGGGCGAGCTCGCCCTTCAGCCCCGACATCCTACTAGGAAGCGAGAACGGCCGCCGACGCTCGTCGGTTTTTACCACGAGTTCCGGCGAGTAGGTTTCAATTAACATCCCCCGAAGCCCACTTAATTCAATTTCCAGCACCGCAATAACAATGGACGACGGCGTCGTAACTCAGGACGAGATCTTCGAGAACATCAAACTCCACAAGGAAGTTCTCGGCAACGTGAAAATGCAGCCGTGGAACATGAGGAAGAAGCTGAAGCTGGTCGTCCAGGCGAAAACCTACATAAAAAAGCACGAGGGTGCCCTTCAGGAGCGGCTGGCGCAGAGCCGATCCACCAGGGACATGCTGGCGAGGTGGAACATTTATCTTATAAAAGTGAGTCGATGCGAGGTGTTGGGCCGAACTGAAAGGGGCTTTTCAGAAGTGGCAGCGTTACCGCCGCGAACTGGCCAATTTGTCCAATTGGCTGGTGCCGTGGGAGCTCAAGATAAAGGAGATCGAGTCGCACTTCGGCTCGGTGGTGGCGTCGTATTTTCTTTTTTTGAGGTGGCTGTTTTGGGTTAACATCGTGCTGGCGGTGGTGCTGATCTCGTTTGTGGCCGTGCCTGAGGTAAGACGGTTTTCTTAAAATCAGAAGCACAATACCCAACGTTCAGTCTGGGTCCATAACCTAACTCATCATTAGAAAAACGTTATTTCTATCTTGATAATTATTAATGCTGCCTGGTCAGCAATCAGCTACCTTTTCCAAATACACACCATATGACCTTGCACCGGCTCATCCGTCACCGCTCCCGCACGCGAAATTTTGCAACATAAATTTTGTAACCTCTATGTGTACAATATTAGCGAAGCCACAAGTGTATTTTTTTTGTTCAATAACAATCATGTCGAAATCGTTTACAATATAACATTAACGCAACGCCGATTTTCGCTTAGTAAGTATGTTGGTGCAGATCGGATTACGGCATTTCCTCGCGAAATGTGGTTTAAAATCTCCTTGTTAGTGTGTTGTACTGGGAGAATTAGTGGAGTGCTGTACCCCATTAGGAACAATTACCGGGCCGCCCTTGGCTTCACGCCGCCCGAAAACGAAGTGACTTTCCACTTGTACCACAGGTAGGAGCTTGGAATATTTTTTCATTCGCTTATTTTCCGGACGAATCGATACTTTGCTCGGAAAATGATGAATGGGACACCACTAGGACTCGAGTAATCTACTTACGCAAGATATATTATTCTCCACAGTAGCGACTTATCAAAGGATGACCAGCTTTTTATTGGTGATCTCGGCTCGATCGAGAGCTCGCGGTTTAATCCGGATTTGCCTACGAAGATCATCATACATGGGTGGACCCACGGGAAGGACGTGCCGTGGATGGTGGAAATGAGGGAAGGTATGCGATTTGGTGTTGCCTTGACTTGTTTATTCGTTGTTTACGACTGTATTAAGATCTTTTTTGTGTTGACGTCCAGTACTTGCTTTGAGTGATGAAAGTGTTACGAGTAATTGCAAATGACCTTCACATTTAACAAATGCATCTAGGACCTTAAACTGATAACACACTTTGCTTCACCTGGTGAGAAACGCGACCTAATTTTTTTGATTCATTCATCAAAATTATGTTTGATTAATTTGTAGTCATTTTGAATTTTGAATTTGTTTTATGCTTGTGGTTAATCACATTCGTGCTACGTAACAAACACAGTAATTATATCCAATACACAGCGGTCAGATATTATTATTTAAAACATTGTTAATTTTGATTAATTTTAATTAAATTTAACAACCAATGACAATGTCCGCATGTTCTAAAAATCAAGCTAGTGCAATGTGTTACATAATGTTAATTTACAAAATAAATTACAATGATGGTGTTTAATCACCTAGTAAAATACATTTATGTAATTAATTCGAATTTTTTCAAAATCGCCAAAGTGAAATATGGAACTACATATTTTAAAATTTGTTTTTGAAACCGAATATTTCGAAAACTAGTTGTCGAATTGAGTCGTCAAAATCTACCTCCCGGAATTATTTGTGCACTTTTTGTCAATTTAGCTTGATTTTTCAGTATTTGAAATATTTACCCTTTTTTAAAACACCTTCGAACTTGAGCAAAAAATTGTTTTATTTATCCCCTGAAGTTTCTTCCGGCTTGATTTCTTCGAAAATTCTTACCATTTTTCCAAAATCGCGAAAGTAAAATATGGCAAATTTTTAGATTTCTAGAGGGTATTCCCAATGTACATATAAAATTTGACAACAATCGAAGATCTAATACAAATGGACACAGATGTCATACAGACAAGCAGATGGACAGACCGACAGACGGATTCGTAACAAAAATACTCATTCACACTAGCGAAAAGATTCAATAATTCTACTGAAAACAGGAAATTCAAAATAACTATAAAAATAATTAGTCGAAGGTTATTTCGACTGAACTTCCCGCTTCTTTGAAAAATTCTAAAATTTAATTTTGCAAAATTTTATATATACGAGTATTATAGTGGAAGTTCAGGGTAAAAAATCAACACGGATTCATAAACCACAAGTGTAGAGTATGTTGTTTTATAAAATTTAAATAACAATTATTACGTAACATTTTAAGGTGAAGCCAACAATTGTTCATGGGGATCATTTGAAAAATTTTGGCTCTCGTTTTACCATCTCACTAGGACGGTCACGACTTTGGCTGCTCAACGGTTTTTCGATCTGACAACATTCCCCTGTTGCACATTCACGAGTCAAGAGTCTTTGGATCTTGGAAAAATCCCTTTTCTCCACTTTCATAAGTCAACGTTCTTTTAATTCGACAAGAGTCCCATTTCTCCACCTTGACGACAGAACGGTCTTTCGATTAGAGAAAAATCCCCTTTCTTCACCTCCACAAAATAATGATCCTTCGATCCGACAAAAGTCCCCTTTCCTACTTTCATGAGTCAACAGTCTTTAGATCTTGCAAAAGCCTCCTTTCTCAATTTTCACTAGTCAACGATGTTTCGATACGACAAATGTCCCTTTTCTCCACCTTCACAAGTCAACGTTCTGTCGATCCTACAAAAGCCTCGATTTTCCACCTCCAAGACTCAACTGACTTTCGATTCGACAAAAGTCCACTTTCTCCACTTTCACGAGTCAACAGTCTTTAGCTCTTGCAAAAGTCCCCTTTCTCCACTTTCACTAGTCACCGATGTTTCGATCCGACAAATGTCCCTTTTCTCCATCTTCACAAGTCAACGTTCTTTCGATCCTACAAAAGTCCCGATTTTCCACCTTAAAGACTCAACTGACTTTCGGTTCGACAAAAGTCCACTTTCTCCACTTTCACGAGTCAACAGTCTTTAGATCTTGCAAAAGTCCCCGTTCCCCACTTTCACTAGTCACCGATGTTTCGATCCGACAAAAGTCCCTTTTCTCCACCTTCACAAGTCAACGATGTTTTGATCCGACAAAAGTCCCTTTTCTTCACCTTCACGACGCAATGGTCGTTCGATTGGACAAAAGTCTCTTTTCTTTACCTTCACAGTAGAATGATCCTTCGATCAGACAAAAATTCCCTTTTCCACATTCACGAGTCAAGATTCTTTAGATCTTGCAAAAGTCCTCTTTGTCCACTTTCACGAGTCAACAGTCTTTAGATCTTGCAAAAGCCACCTTTCTCCATTTTCACTAGTCAACGATGTTTCGATCCGACAAATGTCCCTTTTCTCCACTTTCACAAGTCAACGTTCTTTCGATTCTACAAAAGTCCCGTTTTTCCACCTCCAAGACTCAATTGACTTTCGGTCCGACAAAAGTCCACTTTCTCCACTTTCACGAGTAGACAGTCTTTAGATCTTGCAAAAGTCCTCTTTGTCCACCTTCACGAGTCAACAGTCTTTAGATCTTGCAAAAGTTCCCTTTCTCCATTTTCACTAGTCAACGATGTTTCGATCCTACAAAAGTCCCGTTTTTCCACCTTCAGGATTCACCAGACTTTCGGTCCGACAAAAGTCCACTTTTTCCACTTTCATGAATCAACGGTTTTTCGATCTTGCAAAAGTCCCTTTCTTCACCTTCACAACATAATGATCTTTCGATCCGACAAAAGTTTCCCTTTTCACATTTACGAGTCAACACTCTTTGGATCTTGCAAAAGCCCTTTTTCTTTACCTTCACCACACAATCAATCATCCTTCCATCAGAAAAAAGTCCCACTTTTCACCTTAACGAGTCAACAGTCTTTAAATCTTGCAAAAGTCTCCATTCTCCACTTTCACTAGTCAACGATGTTTCGGTCCAACAAAAGTCCACTTTCTCCACTCTCATGAGTCAACAGTCTTTAGATCTTGCAAAATTCCATTTCTCCACTTTCACTAGTCAATAATCTTTCGATATGACAAAAGTCCCTTCTCTCCACCTTTAAGTAGAATGATCCTTCGATCCGACAAAAATCCCCTTTTCCACATTCACGAGTCAAGAGTCTTTAGATCTTGCAAAAGTCCCCTTTGTTCTCCTTCACCACAGAATCATCTTTCCATTCGACAAAAGTCCCCTTTTCCACCTTTACGAGTCCACAGTCTTTAGATTTTGCAAAAGGCCCCTTCCTCCATTTTCACTAGTCAACAATGTTTCGATCCGACAAAAGCTCTTTTCTCCATCTTCACAAGTCAACGTTCTTTCAATCCGACAAAAGTTCTGTTTTTCCACCTCCAAGACTCAACTGACTTTCGGTCCGACAAAAGTCCACTTTCTCGACTTTCACGAGTCAACAGTCTTTAGCTCTTGCAAAAGTCCCCTTTCTCCACTTTCATTAGTCACCGATGTTTCGATCCGACAAAAGTCCCTTTTCTCCACCTTCACAAGTCAACGATGTTTTCATCCGACAAAAGTCCCTTTTCTTCACCTTCACGACGCAATGGTCGTTCGATTGGACAAAAGTCTCTTTTCTTTGCCTTCACAGTAGAATGATCCTTCGATCCGACAAAAATCCCGTTTTCCACATTCACGAGTCAAAAGTCTTTAGGTCTTGCACAAGTCCTCCTTGTCCACCTTCACGAGTCAACAGTCTTTAGATCTTGCAAAAGTCCCCTTCCTCCACTTTCAGGACTCCATGATCTTTTGATCCGACAAAGTGGGGTCCAATGTTTATAAAGAACGGCATCGGTTGTTAATGAAATACGACGTTCGTACGCACTACTAATGTGAAATAAAATAATCTGTCGTCGAAAAAAGTAAAGGCCGATTCATAAACTACAAGCTTAAAAGTATATTATTTTATAAAATCTAAATAACTTTTACCCTGCAAGATTTTGAGGCAACGTCAACACAGTGTAGGTCAGGACGATTAGGCAAATTTTGACTGTCATTAAGGTCATTACTGAAAGCTTTGCATTAAAATTTTTCACGAAATCATTACAATAAGTATAAATCACAATCCCCACACAGTAAATATTTAAAACCGAGCCATTAGGGATTCATCTAGCGCGCAAACCTCCCATAAATAATCAAATTTATTCTGGACGCGGACTATGTCTTTTTCATTATGTACTTAACCATTTTTATTGCCCATATATCTTTTCCGAAAGATATAAAGAAGTAACATTGTAAGCTCATTTTAAGAGGTGTCAGCTCCTAACGTATGTTTTACACCTAAGCTGGGAAAAGTTTCCTTTCCAATAAAATAAAACTTTGTAAAAAATTAAAGTTTCGTTATCCAGCTTCCTTTCAGACGCTTCTGGTGCTTTTAAAGCCTTTATGTTTCTTTCGTACTTCGTAAAATTTCAGTTTAACGTGTCTGCACAAAGAAACAATGCGATGGCTCTTTTTCTTTTACTGATAACCGGGATCCCGACACCATCTCGCATTTCTTTGTTTGAGAAAATTGCCTACGAAAAGTTATTACTAATTTAGGGCTGCCGGTCGTGATATCTGCCCGCTGTTTGTTGTGTTTGGACAGAAAACAGAGACCTAATAATCACAATAATAATAATGATAGTTCTTTTAACGCGGGCTAAGAATGCAACACGTTCTGAAAAATAGTGTACGGAATACAATGTACTTAAAATTTGACGACAATATTATGACATGCAAATAATGTGTATGCCGTCTGCGGCCTTAAAAACTCATTCCCATCCTAAACTAACCCGAGCAATAAACCCTGTCGCTCTTAAAACTCTTCGTGTCAGAACACCGAACAGCTTTTGTCTCGTCGTCTATTACCCTCCCCCAAACAACACTAACGCCAATTCCTCCCCGCAGTTATGGCGCGGACGAATTTGTGGAACATCGTAATAGTGGATTGGGCGCCCTTATCTCATGCCATCTACACCGAAGCCCGCATCCACACCGGCGTCGTCGGCAGACAGCTAACCCGTTTCTGCATGTTCCTCGCAAAATCAACCGGCATCAACATGTCGTCGGTTCACATGATAGGCCACAGCATGGGAGCGCAAATCGCCGCGTTCGCAGGACACAGGCTCCAGTACGACATGAATCAGACAATCGACAGGATATCGGGGCTGGATCCTGCGGCTCCGTTGTACGAATGGCCGCACATAGAGTCCCTGGATGAGATCCTTGATCCGGGCGACGCGGCGTTCGTCGACGTTATACACACGAACGGAAGACATCTGGGGATTATTTTTCCGTCGGGACATGTAGATTACTATCCGAACGGCGGACAGCATCAGCCGGGGTGCGGATTTTGTGAGTAGATATGATTTAGGTGGGATCTAGGAGGGCTTACCTAGGAGTGGGGTTCTCTTAAAACTGCTTTGTTTAGAAAGATGAAGTGATGAAACTCGAAACAATTAAATAGGGCGGTCTGAGGAAGGATTAGAAGTTGCGTGACGAAAGACGTGTTTAGACATTGGAGAAATTAGATTATTTGGGACTTAAATTTCTAGAAGTAAATGGTTGGCATTACGAAGTTGATAGAGCAGTTTCTTTCTTTTTTCGTAGTTTTTAGTTCAATAATAAAAACAAAATTCTGTAGTAATAGAAACTTGAGAGCAAGAAAGACATTTTACGCTCGAAATACAAACACAAATTTTTCTATAGCGTATACAAAGAATGCGTTCCAAACAATATAAATTTGAAACCAGTTATTTTCAGTTTGTCAAAAACCCGTTAAAAAAAATCAGAATTTCTAGGTGAAGTAGATAACAGAGGAGTGAAATTTTGTAACTGAAATTGTGTGTTATAACCAACGCGCGGAATTGTGTTTCATACGGTAGAACCAGTGCTGTCGCGGCGATAGTTTGATTACAATAATATTTTTCTTTTGGACTATATCAACATAATATAACATTTCAAGATCACAAATCTGTGGTCCTGTGGTTGAAAAATTAAAAAGGGCATCAAGTATTATTATTTGAAGTAATATAGTAATATAGAAGTAGTTTTTTTACTAGTTGTAAACACTCCTAGCGACGCACAGGCTATGACCTTGTGGACCAGATCAAGGCGTCCCCGCTACTCGCCGTAAAATACACCTTACTTCAACTGGGGGATTGCAGCGGTTAAAACAAATTCCCGCGTACTGGTTATAACCAAAGTTGGTGTGAACAGGGCAACTTTATTTTTTTTTTTAGATTACAAAAGCAGAAAAAAATACAGTTATTTGGTTTTTAAGCAAAAAATGTTAAAAAAGTCAATATTTAAAAATCTAACAGGAAAAAAATTCCGTGAGAAATCTAAAATAGCAAATAAAAGATTTAGTAAAAAAAAATATTGCCACACATAATCAAAGAATTTTGAAAATCTGATTTTGAGATTTAAGTTGAAAGCAAAAAAAATGTTAGAAATATAATGACAATCTAACACGAAAAAAATCCTGCAGAATCGAAGTCAAACATAAAATAGCAAATACAAGATTTAGATAAAAAAATTATTGGGTTTGCAATTTTTTAGTTTTTCATTTTTTTTGTTTCTTGACTTTACGATATGCAACTCTTCGAGTTTTGGTTTTAAAATTTTTCAGTTTCTCGATTTTTCTACTTCTGGAAGTATGAATTTTTAGATTTAGCAATTTTCGATGTACAGATTCACGAGTTTCCGTTTTTTAATTTTTTTAATGTCGTCAATTTTTTTAATTGTACTTTTTTGTTTCGATTTTCATTTTCCTTGTTTGTTCAATTTTTCGGTTTTTCAGTGCTCTGATTGTATAATTTTTCTGTTTTTCAATGGAAACATTTTTAATTTTTTAGATTTTTGAGTTTTTCGTTTCTTTAATTTTTGATTTGTAATTTTTTTAGTTGTCATTTTAAATATATGTAACATAATTTAAAAAAAATCTATTTTTCAATGGACAAATTTTGAAATTTTTCGATTTTTGAATTTTTCGGTTTTCCAACTTTTAGATTTTTTTCATTTCTCATTTTTTCAATCCCAGTTTTTCAGCTTCCCGATTTTTCAGTTTCTCGTTTCTTCACCTATTGATTTGCAATTTTTCTAGTTTCCATTTTACACATGTAATAATAATTATAGTTTAAAAAATCTTGCATTTTTTCAATTTTAGGATTTTAAATTTTTCTATTTTTCGATTATTAGATTTTAAAACTTTTTCATTTATTCGATTTTTCATTTTTTCATTGTTCAATTTCTTGTTATTTAATTTTTGAATTTTTCGATCTTTTATAGTCATAGTTTTCCCATATATTTACAATTTTTGGGTTTTGCAATTTTTTTGACTCGATTCTTTTTTTCTTTTTTCCAATTTTCGATTAAATAATTTTTTGGATTTTAAGTTTCTCGATTTTTAGTTTTTCAGTGTTTCAATTTTTCGTTTCTTCAATTCTTTGATTTTCAGTTTTTCATTTTTTACTTTTTCGACTTTGCAATTTTTCGTTTTTTTATTTTTCAATTTTTTCTTTTTTTCAGTTTTTCTATTTTTTTGATTTTTCGATTTATCAACTTTGCGAATAAATAAAAGTGGATAAATTGCAAAATTGAAAATTCAAAATTAGGAAAACGAAAAAGTATAAAATGAAAACTTTCAAAAATCTAAAAATTGGAAATTAAGTACTCGAAAAATTAGAACCAAAAAATTGAAAAAGCGTAAGATTAATGGTGGATAAACTCATCGTCGAAAAAGTGGAAAACCGAAAAAATGAAAATTGTGAAATCAGAATATTGAAAAATCAAGAAACTGGAAAATTGGATACTTGAGACATTAAAAAATTTTAAAAATAAAAGATTTTGTTAAAAAAAATATCGCCAAAATTAATCAAAGAATTTTGAAAATCTGATTTAGCGGTTTAAGTTGAAAACAAAAAACTGTTACGTGAAGAAAATTGTGTTCTGATTGTATAATTTTTCTGTTTTTCAATGGATTTTTTTTTTATTTTTTGGTTTTTCAATTTTTCGATTTGGCGTTTTTCGATTTTCCAGTTTTTAGATTTTTTCACTTATTCTTTTTTCAATTTTAGTTTTTTCAGTTTTTCGATTTTTCAATTTCTCGTTTTTTCAAATTTTGAATTTCTCGATCTTTCATTGTCACAGCTTTCCCATATATTTACAATTTTTGGGTTTTCCAATTTTTTTGACTCGATTCGTTTTTTCTTTTTTCCAATTTTCGATTAAATAATTTTTTGGATTTTAAGTTTCTCGATTTTTAGTTTTACAATGTTTCAATTTTTCGTTTCTTCAATTCTTTGATTTTCAGTTTTTCATTTTTTACTTTTTCGACTTTGCAATTTTTCGTTTTTTTATTTTGCAATTTTTTCTTTTTTTCAGTTTTTCTATTTTTTTGATTTTTCGATTTATCAACTTTGCGAAAAAATAAAAGTGGATAAACTGCAAAATTGTAAAATTGAACATTCAAAATTGGGAAAATGAAAAAGTATAAAGTGAAAAATTTAAAAAATCGAGAAATTGGAAATTAAGAATTCGAAAAATTAGAACCAAAAAATTGAAAAAGCGTAAGATTAATGATGGATAAACTCATAGTCGAAAAAGTGGAAAACCGAAAAAATGAAATACTGTGAAGACAGAATATTGAAAAATAAAGAAACTGGAAAATCGGGTACTTGAAACATTCAAAAATTTTAAAAATAAAAGATTTTGTTAAAAAAAATATCGCCAAACTTAATCAAAGAATTTTAAAAATCTGATTTAGCGATTTAAGTTGAAAACAAAAAACTGTTAAGTGAAGAAAATTGTGTTCTGATTGTATAATTTTTCTGTTTTTCAATGGATTTTTTTTCATTTTTTTTTGGTTTTTCAATTTTTCCGTTTGCCGTTTTTCGGTTTTTAGTTTTTAGTTTTTCAAGTTTTAGATTTTTTTGTTTTTCGTTTCTTTAATTTTTGATTTGCAATTTTTCTAGGTTTCATTTTAAATATGTAATAATGATAATAATTTTAAAACATTTTTCTATTTTTCAATGGAAACATTTTTCAGTATTTTGATTTTTCAATCTTTCGAGATGCAGTTTTTCGGTTTTCCAGTTTCTAGATTTTTTCATTTACCCTTTTTCCAATTTTAGTTTTTTCAGTTTCTCGATTTTTCAGTTTTTCGTTTTTTCACGTTTTTATTTTACACATCTAATAATAATCATAATTTTAAAACTCTTGCACTTTTTCAATTTTACGAATTTAGATTTTTTTCCATTTTTCGATTACTGGATTTTAAAACTTTTTCATTTATTCGATTTATCAAATTTTCGATTTTTAATTTTTTAAATTTTTCGATATTTCGATGTTACAGTTTTCCGATTTATTTACAATTTTTGGTTTTCCAATTTTTTTGACTCGATTCGTTTTTTCTTTTTTCCAATTTTCGATTTAATAAATTTTTCGATTTTAAGTTTCTCGATTTTTAGTTTTTCAATTATTCAATTTTTTGTTTCTTCAGTTCTTTGGTTTTCAGTTTTTCGATTTCCCACTTTTTTGACTTTGCAAATTTTTGTTTTATTTTTAGTTTTTTGGTTTTTCAATTTTTACTTTTTTTTGAGTTTTTCAATTTTTTCCCGATTTTTCAATTTTTTTAATTTGTCGATTTTCAAATTATGCGAATAAAAAAATTGTATAAATTGCAAAATTGTAAAATTGAAAACACAAAACTAGGAAAACGAAAAAAATCTACTACCTAGTTCTGGTAACATCACACATACAATTTAAACAAATTCAATACATATTTAAAAAATATAACACGGAAAAAAATCCCACAGAATCGAAGTCAAACATAATTTAGCAAATACAAGATTTAGTTAAAGAAAAATTTATTCGGTTTGCAATTTTTCGGTTTTTCATTTTTCTTTTTCTTCAATTTTTCATGTCGTCAATTTTTTGAATTGCACTTTTTTGTTTCGGTCTTCATTTTCCTTGTTTTTTCAATTGTTCGGTTTTTCAGTGATCTGATTGTATAATTTTCCTGTTTTTCAATGGAAAATTTTTTAATTTTTTGATTTTTCAATTTTTCAATTTGCCATTTTTCATTTTTCAGTTTTTCAACTTTCAGATTTTTCAGTTTTAGATTTTTCAGTTCCATAATTTTTTTATTTTTCGTTTCTTTAATTATTGTTTCGCAATTTTTTTAGTTTTCATTTTAAATATGTAATAATGATAACAATTTTAAAACATTTTTCTATTTTTCAGTGGAAACATTTTTTTATTTTTTCATTTTCCAATTTTTCGATTTGCCGTTTTTCGGTTTTCCAACTTTTCGATTTTTTTAATTTCTCATTTCTTCACATTTTGATTTGCAATTTTTCTAGTTACCATTTTACACATGTAATAATAATTATAATTTTAAAAATCTTGCACGTTTTCAATTTACGTTTTAAAATTTTTTCCATTTTTCGATTATAGGATTTTTAAACATTTTCATTTATTTGATTTTTGAATTTTCCATTATTAATTTTTCTATTTCGCGTTATTTAATTTTTGAGCTTTTCGATCTTTCAATATTACAGATTTTCGATTTATTTACAATTTTTGGGTTTTCCAATTTTTTTTGACTCGATTCGTTTTTGAGTTTTTCAAAGTTTCAATTTTTCGATTTTCCACTTTTTCGATTTTGCAATTTTTCGTTTTATTTTAGTTTTTCGATTTTTCAATTTTTTCTTTTGTTCAGTTTTTCTATTTTTTCGGATTTTTCAATTTTTTTATTTTTCAACTTTGCGAATAAAAAAAATTATATAAATTGCAAAATTGTAAAATTGAAAATTCAAAACTGGGAAAACGAAAAAGTTCAAATCCGAAAAAATGAAATATTGTGAAATTGAAATATTGAAAAATGAAAAAAATTGGTACTTGGGAAATTAAAAAATTTGAAAAATTGAAAAATTTTAATCAAAGAATTTTGAAAATCTGATTTTTAAGATATAAGTTGAAATCAAAGTCAAAGAAATATAACGACAATAAAATCCCTAAAAAAATTCTGTTCAAAGATTCAAATTAAAGAAAATAATTTATTAAAAAAAATATTTCTCCGTTAACAGAAAAAAGTGATATTTCGCAACTTTAGCACGACAAAGACATTTTAGGCTCATAATACAAGCACAAATTTTTCTACGATGTATAAGAATACATTCCAAGCAATATAAATTTTAAAACAGTTATTTTCAGTTTGTTAAAAACCATATATTAGAAAATTTCGAATTTTACTATTCACATTCATAAATCCCAAAAAAACTTCCTAGAAAAAAATCAAAATTTCTAAATAACAGCAGACAGTAAAGTACTGAAATTTTCTAACTGAAAATGTCTGTTCTAAAATAAGTTAGTTATTCTTGTTTAGATTATAAAAGCAGAAGGAAATTATCTACAAAATTGTGCCTTTTTTGCGTTTTTACCACCGAGTTCTTTCTCATTTGCTGACACCACAGTGAAATGCAATTTAAGCAAAAAAAAAGATGTAAAAAAATTAATATTTAAAAAATCAAATTAGCAAAATTTATGCCACACTTAATCAAAGAATTTCGAAAATCTAGTTTTGACATTCAAGGTGGAAGCAAAAAAAATGTTATGTGAAAAAATTGTGTGAATTTCATTTAAAGACATACATATAATCACTTTAAAAATTCTGTTCAAAAATTCAAATTCTAAATGGCAGTGGTCAAGAAGAAAGTAAAATTGTCTGTAGTGTGAACAGGGCAACTTGACAAGATTTGAAGAAAATTCTAGAAAATTTTTGAAGAGACAAAATAATTTTGACTCTAGTGCGTAACTGAATTTCTTCTCTTTTTTCTTTTTTGATTCTTTATCGGAAAACTCTTGAATGTCTCATTTAGCTGAGAACTGAAGTTCAAGTATGATAATTGACAAAATTTTGTGAAATTACTAGAACATTACATTGGAAAGAAATGTTTACTCTTTGAGTTTACATAAAGAAGAGATTGCCTGCCAAAAAAAAATGAAAACTGTAAACTTTCCTGAAATTTTAGAACATTCATTGATATGAATTTAATTAAAAAAATATTAGTTTACTGTTGTTTTATTAACAAGACCTTTAAATTTTGCTAGCTTTCTTAGTCGAGTTTGTTGCACATTCACAAATAAATCTCGTACTTAAAATTTAAGAAACGTACCGTCACTAGCAGTATTTTACAGAAGTTTTATCACTCTCAGCAATAAATAATATCTGCTACAGGGGTTTGCAGCCACTTGCGGTCATGCGATTTCTGGACTGCTTCCGTAAAGAAACCCGATTTATTCAAAGCATACCCGTTCCAAGCCTGGGATGAATATTTAGCAGGAAACACAAATGGACTGATCTCAGTGCCAATGGGAATTGCAGCCAATTCGAACATTCCTTACGGCGCGTATTTTTTGCAAACCACCGACGAGGAGCGGCTCTTTCTCAACACCACGACCACGATATTCGACAGCTTCCCCAACAGAAAACGACGTCACAAACAAGACCACTTGTAACTTTTCCACCCCACTTTGTATTTATTAAACCAATAAAAACAAACCAAAAAACCCGAGTTTAATTTATCACGATTCCGAAATTAGTCGACGTAATCGCATTCTCGCTGGCCGTGATCTCACGGATGCAATAGTCGCTCTAATTTATACCTCATATTAAACCCTTCGCCCACTCTTAACCAGACTATTAGTTTCCCCTGTAATGCGGGTTGCCGGCCATTTCGAAAATCTCATTATTATTCGTTATCGTGTCATTTTCTGCGCCAAGTATTAACTATAAAACACTTTAGAACTACGTGGCGTGAATTCCTGGCCGTATTTATCCATATTTCCAGGCGGATCCGGCGCATCCGCCAAAATAATTTCCCCGAACTACACTTAAATAAATTCTCTTACCTTTCATAATTCTGTCTTGTCCAAACACACGGAACGAAGAGATAGGAAAAATATTTTATGCGCCAGCAGTTCTGTTTACGAGGCGATCTCCTTAAAAAGGGATTTTTAAAACCCGTTTATCTCCTCAAGAAAACATATAAATTCGCCGCAAATCCGTGAATATTTATAGGTTCAAAGAACAATTTTTTGTAAATCACGCATCGCCACGGCTTGGGACCGGACGAAGCGTTTTAAACAGACGGATTTAAGTCTCCTGGGACTTCTTTTTCGGCTTTTATTATGAGAACGAACTGTTTTAATAATCGCTAGTCGCCGGTTTGCCGTAAATAGTTAAAATGAAATGGTGTATACTTACTTGGAACGGACTCGAAGACAAGTAATTCGGAAAACACTTCACTTTTGCCAAATTTTTGGCTCAAATTAGTCAAAATTTGCACTTTCTGGGAAACAAAATTTTTTAATGGCGCCTTCTCGTAATAATTTGTGAACTGTCAAAAAGCAAAGGCGACTGTGATAGTTTCTCGAACCGAAAAAAAAAATGGTATTGGCGTATTACTGGTTGCAGAATCACGTACGAGAAAGTTGAATTTGTAGATAAAGAAGTTAAAAAAATTAAATTAATAAACAAAATAACAACAAAAAGATTACGCGTGACGGATATATGGAAAGTATGAATGTTTAATTAACGTTGTGATAATGAAATTCTTCATTAGTACTTTCTGCTTTAAGCTTTAAATTATTAAATTTTTCATTTTCATTAAAGCATGCTAACTGGCAGATGCTCTACTACCTCTGACTTTTGCAGTAAAGAGAACATTAAAGCCTGCACTAAACTTTTTTACTGCAATGTTTGGCGTAAATAAATAAAATCAAAGGGAATGTACTTACCGGAATGTAAAATGAACTAGAAGACAAGTAGTTCGAAAAGCACTTCACTTTTGTCAAATTTTTCACTGAACTTAGTCAAAATTTACACTTTTTGTGAAACAAAATTTTTAGCTGAAGCTTTGCTGCAATAATTTTCGTGAACTGTCAATTTGCAAAGGCGACTGTGATATTAAATAGCCGCCTTTCTTAGCACGCGCTATTGTAAAAACGAATGTCAATGGTGTATTACTGGTTGCAGAACTACCTATCGGGAAGTTATAGATTTGTTAATACAAAAGTTTAAAAAATTGAAATAAGAAATAATGATGCAACCGAAACTCTCTATAGCTGTAATTAACAGAATCAATTATTATTCTAATGAAATAGGTACCCAATGTATTGTATAAGTAAATTACTTCAATGTATTCCAATAATACTAATAATACACATGTATTATTGGTTGCCGATACCAAAATAAAAATTATTTTTTCATTGTGGAGGGTTCGTTTATGAAAAAAACTGGATCAGAATATTTTCAGGAGATTTTGGATCTTTTTGCTTTTACTGTGTGATATTTGACGTCATACAGAGTGATTAACAATTATTACTATTTGCTTGCAATTGATATAACTGTCACTCTGATTTACATCTTATTGTCAAAATGGACATGATAAACACTGACATTGAACTTAAATAAAAATTTGTTATCAATTATCATCTACTATCATGATCAACTATTGATTATTTATTGATCACGCGGTGTATATCATTAATTAATTCCTTTACTGAACTGAACACAGCAGCTATTTACTTTTAACACTATATTAAGTGTAGAAATGCTATAATTATAAAAATGATGGATATTTTACGAGCGAGCGAAGCGAGCTGTTTCTGCATTTTTCTTGACAGTTGTTTGTATTTCGTCTGTAGTATAATTTTGACAAATAATTTACTTACATTGTTATAAAGTCAGCTAAGACGCCTTAAATTGGTTGCCGCGGATTCAGTGGTACCAATCAAGTAAAAAACACGTTAAGTAATATTTGTCCGCACTCAAATTTAGATTGGTAAAAATGAATCATTTGGGCTGATTTTTCCATATTTTCACTTGGGTGCCACGAAATCCACCAATCGAATGTGGTACTTAATTTAAAAGATTCATTGTTGCCAACCTCTATTTCAGTGAGGAGAAATATACGTTTTTTACTGAATTGGTACCACTGAATCGGTGACAATCTTAGCCGGACAAAAGGTATATTGGTAGACAAAAAATAATTCCTAAGACAGATCCCATGGTCGACAAAAAATGATGGGGATCCTAAAATGGGTCAAATTGGCCAATAAAAACTAAGGATAGTCAGACAGATCAAACTGGTGGAGGTCCTAAGATAGGTCAAACCGATCGACAAAAATGATCGGAGTCCTAAAGTAAGATCAATTTAGTAGGGAAAAAATGATGTCTAATAGTCGACAAAAAATGATGAGGGTCTTAAAACAGGTCAAATTAGTCTGCAAAAGTGATGGCGGTCCTAGGACAAGTCAAATTGATCGACAAGAATTATGGGGGTCCTAGGACAAATCAAATTTTTCGACAAGGTATGATGGGGATCCTAAGACAGATCAAACTGATTGGGAAAAAATGACGCGAGTCCTAAGACATTGGTGGACAAAAAATGATAGGGGTTTTAATTCAGATCAAATGGTCTGCAAAAAATTAAAGGGGTCCTACGACAGGTCAAAATGGTTGACAAAAAATGGTAGGATCCTAAGACGGGTTAAATTTTTCGACAAAAAATAATGGGGTTTTTAAACACGGCAAATTGTTCAATAAAATATGGTGGAAGTCCTAAGACAAAAATGACACATCAAACTGGCGAATAAAAATGATGGGGGTTCTGAAGTAGGTCAATTTGGTCGTGAAAACTTTTGAGGGTTTTAAGGAGGTCCTAAGAAAGGTCAAACTGATCGACAAAAAATTATGGGGGTCCTAAGAGACGTCAAATGAGTCTGGAAAAAGTGATCGCAGTCCTAGGACAAGTCAAATTGTCAACCAAAAATTATGGACAACTAAGATAGTTCAAATTAGTCGAAAAAAAATGTGGGCCCTAGGACAAATGAAAATTTTTAACGCAGAATTATGGGAATTCTAAGACAGGTCAAAGTGGTTAGGAAAAAATGAGAGGGTTCCTAAGACAGTTCAAATTTAATGACAAAAACTGAGGCTCCTAAGACAAGTTGGTGGACAAAAAATGATGGGGCTCCCCAGATAAGTCAAATTGATTGACAAAAATTAATGGAGGTTTTAAGACAGGTCTAATGGTCGAGAAAAATTAAAGGTGTCCTAGGACAGAAAATAATGGTGTAGATAGTTCAATTTTGACGACAAAAACTGAGGGTCCTAAGACGGATCAAACTGATGGATAAAAAATGATGGGAATCCTAAAGTAGGTCAAACTGGTAAAAAAAAAAATATATGGAGGTCCTAAGATAGGTCAAATTGATCCACAAAAAATCATGGGGGACCTAAAGCAGGTCAATTTGGTCGAAAAAAAGTGATCTCCAATGGTCGACAAAAAATTCTGGGGGTTCTCGTCAAATTTTTTGGCAAAGACTGATGGAGATCCTAAGACAGGTCAAATTGGTCGGGAAAAAATGACGGGGATCCTAAGACAGTTCAAGTTGGACGACAAAAAATAATGGGGGTTTTAAGACCGGTCAAATGGTCAACAAAAATAGTGGTGGTTCTAAGACAGGTCAAATTGATCGATAAAAAAAGGTGGAGATCCTAAAACAGATCAAATCAGTCGAAAAAAAGTGATGATGGTCCTAAAACAAGTCAAATTGTTGACAAAAATGATAGGGTCAAACACAATTCAAAACGGTCGACAAAAAATAATGGCAGCCCTAGGACAAGTCAAATTTTCAACAAAGAATACTAGAGATCCTAAGAGAGGTCAAATAAGCCGAAAAAATGATGATGGTCCTAAAACAGGTCAAATTGTTGACAAAAAATAATGGGGGTCCTAGGACAAATTAAATTTGTCGACATAGAATTATGATCATCCTAAGACAGGTCAAACTGATTGGGAAAAAAATGACAAGGGTCCTAAGACAGTTCAAACTGGACGACAAAAACTGGGGGCCCCAAGACAGGTCAAGATCGTGGACAAAAAATGATAAGGGTCATAATTCAGATCAAAATGGTCGACAAAAAATTATGGGGATCCTAGAAAAGGTCAAATTGATCGACAAAAAAACGGGGGTCCTAAAACAGATCAAATTGATCGACAAAAAAAGGTGGAGATCCTAAGACAGATCAATTTAGTCGAAAAAAAGTGATGATGGACCTAAAACAGGTCAAATTGTTGACAAAAAATTATGGGGTCAAAGACAATTCAAAACGGTCGACAAAAAATAATGGTGGTCGTAGGACAAGTCAAATTTTTCGACAAAGAATGATGAGATCTCAAGGTGAAATTGGTGATGAAAAAGTGATGGCGGTCCTAAGACAGGCCAAATAGTCGTCAAAAAATGACGCGTGTCCTAACACAGTTCAAATCAAATTTTTCGACAAAAAAAGATAGAGATCCTAAGAGAGGTCAAATTGTTCGGGAAGAAGTGATGGCGGATAAGACAGGTCAAATAGTTATCAAAAAATGAGGAGAGTCCAAAGACAGGTCAAATTTTTCGACAAAAAATAATGGGTCCTAAAACAGGTCAAATTGGTCAATAAAAAATGATGGAGTTCCTAAGACAGGTTAAATAAATTGAAAAAAAGTGATGATGGTCCTAAAACAGGTAAAATTGTTGACAAAAAATAATGGGGGTCCTAGGACAAATTAAATTTGTCGACATAGAATTATGATCATCCTAAGACAGGTCAAACTGATTGGGAAAAAAATGACAAGGGTCCTAAGACAGTTCAAACTGGACGACAAAAACTGGGGGCCCCAAGACAGGTCAAGATCGTGGACAAAAAATGATAAGGGTCATAATTCAGATCAAAATGGTCGACAAAAAGTTATGGGGATCCTAGAAAAGGTCAAATTGGTCGACAAAAAGACGGGGGTCCTAAAACAGATCAAATTGATCGACAAAAAAAGGTGGAGATCCTAAGACAGATCAGATTAGTCGAAAAAAAGTGATGATGGTCCTAAAACAGGTCAAATTGTTGACAAAAAATGATGGGGTCAAACACAATTCAAACCGGTCGACAAAAAATAATGGCAGCCCTAGGACAAGTCAAATTTTTCGACAAGAATGATCAGATCCTAAAGTGAAATTGGTGAGGCAAAGTGATGGCGGTCCTAAGACAAGCGAAATAGTCGTCAAAAAATGGTACGTGTCCTAACACAGTTCAAGTCAAATTTTTCGACAAAGAAAGATAGAGATCCTAAGAGAGGTCAAATTGTTTGGGAAGAAGTGATGGCGGACCTAAGACAGGTCAAATAGTTATTAAAAAATGACGGGAGTCCTAAGACAGGTCAAATTTTACGACAAAAAATAATGGGTCCTAAAACAGGTCAAATTGGTCAATAAAAAATGATGGAGTTCCTAAGACAGGTTAAATAAATTGAAAAAAAGTGATGATGGTCCTAAAACAGGTAAAATGGTTGACAAAAAATTATGGGGGTAACACAGTTCAAGTCAAATTTTTCGATAAAGAATAATAGAGATCCTAAGAGAAGTCAACTTTTTCGACCAAAAATAATGGGGTCCTATAACAGGTCAAATTGATCGATAAAAAAAGGTGCAGATCCTAAGACAGATCAAATTAGTCGAAAAAAAGTGATGAAGGTCCTAAGACAGGTCAAATTGTTGACAAAAAATGATGGGGTCAAAGACAATTCAAAACGGTCGACAAAAATAATGGGGGTCTTAGGACAAATCAAATGTTTCGACAAAGAATGACAGTGATCCTAAGAGAGATCAAATTGGTCGGGCAGAAGTGATGGCGGACCTAAGGCAGGTCAAATAGTTATCAAAAAATGACGGGAGTCCTAAGCCAGGTTAAATTTTTCGACAAAAAATAATGGGTCCTAAAACAGGTCAAATTGGTCAATAAAAAATGATGGAGTTCCTAAGACAGGTTAAATAAATTTAAAAAAAAGTGATGATGGTCCTAAAACAGGTCAAAATTGTTGACAAAAAATTATGGAGTCCTAAGACAAATCAAAACGGTCAACAAAAAACAATGGGGGTCCTACGACAAATCAAATGTTTCGACAAAGAATGATGAGATCTCAAGGTGAAATTGATGGGGGAAAAGTGACGGCGGTCCTAAAACAAGCCAAATAGTCGTCAAAAAATGACTCTTGTCCTAACACAGTTCAAGTCAAATTTTTCGATAAAGAATGATAGAGGTCCTAAGAGAAGTCAACTTTTTCGACCAAAAATAATGGGAGTCCTATAACAGGTTAAATTGGTCAATAAAAAATGATGGAGTTCCTAAGACAGGTTAAATAAGTCGAAAAAAGTGGTGATGGTTCTTAAACAGGTCAAATTGTTGACAAAAAATAGTGGGGGTCCTAGGATAAATCAAATTTTTCGACAAAGAATGATGAGGATCCTAAGAAACTCAAACTGATTGGGAAAAAATAACGAGGGTCCTAAGACAGTTCAAATTGGACGACAAAAAGTGTGGGTCCTAAGACAGGTCAAGATGGTGGACAAAAAATAATAAGGGTCCTAATTCATATCAAAATGGTCGACAAAAAATGATGAGGGCCCTAAAAAAAGGTCAAATTGCTCGATAAAAAGACGGGGGTCTTAAAACAGATCAAATGGATCGACAAAAAATGATGGGGGTCCTAAGACAAGTCAAATTAATTGAAAAAAGTGATGATGGTCCTAAAACAGGTCAAATTGTTTACAAAAAATGATGGGGTCCTAGGACAAGTCAAATTTTTCGACAAAGAATAATGAGATCCTAAGATGAAATTGGTGGGGAAAAAGTGACGGCGCTCCTAAGATAGGTCAAATGGATCGACAAAAAATAATGGGATCCTAAAAAAGGTCAAATTGGTCGACAAAAATGGACGGGAGGTCTAAAACAGATCAAATGGATTGAGAAAAAATGATGGAGGTCCTAAGACAGGTCAAATGGTCGGTAAAAAATGACGGAGATCCTGAGACAAGTCAACGACCTATTGCCAAAAAGTAGTGCTGTTTCTAGTCAAATTGATCGACAAAAAGTCATGGGAGTCCTAGCTCAGGTCACAAATTGTTCGGGAAAAAGTGATAGTGGCTTTAAGACTGGATAAATGGCCAACAAAAATAGTGGAGGTCCTAAGACAGACAAAATTGATCGATAAAAAATGACGCGGGTCCTAAGACAGTTCAAACTGGTCGACAAAAAATAATGGCGGTTCTAGGACAAGTCAAATTCTTCGTATAAACCATAATGGCGATCCTAAGAAAGGTCAAACCGGTCGGGAAAAAGTGATGGCGGTCGTAACACAAGTCAAATAGTCATCAAAAAATAATGGGGATCATAAAACAGGTGAAATTGGTCAATAAAAAATGGCGAAGTTCCTAAAACAGGTCAAATCAGACGAAAAAAAAAGATGATGGTTCTAAAACAGGTTAAATTGTTGACAAAAAATAATGGGGGTCCTTTGACAAATAAAATTTTTCGACAAAGAATGATGAGGAAACTAAGACAGGTCAAACTGATTCGGAAAAAATGACGAGGGTCCTGAGACAATTCAAACTGGACGACAAAAACTGGGGGTCCTAAGACAGGTCAGGATGGTGGACAAAAAATGATAAGGGTCCTAATTAAGATCAAAATGGTCTACAACAAATGATGGGGTTCAGAGAAAATATCAAATTGGTGGAGAAAAATGACGGGGGTCCTAAAACAGATCAAACTGATCGGCAAAAAATGATGGGGACCTAAGACAGGTCAAATGGTCGATAAAAAATGACGGTGATCCTGGGATACGTCAACGACCTATCGACAAAAAGTAGTGCCGTTTCTGGCTCAGGTCAAATGAGGGCAAACTGAGCCAGAAACTGCACTACATAACTACCATTGCAATTGTCAATCATGACATGGAAAAAGGATGTATCATATGATCGAGAAAAAAGTCGTATATAAAAAAATGAAATTTTTGTTAAAAAATTATGTTGGCAATATTATTTTAAATATGAATTTTATACCCCACTGCAATAGACCCAAATTCCAGAAATATCAAATATGTCTGAGACTGCAACTGTCAAACAGGCCAAATACATATATGGCAAAGGCTGTACCATTATGCATAATTGTCAAACAGAGTGTTAACAGTTATGCCAACATTGTTATTTTAAAAATAAAGTTCATAATCCACTCAACAATTTTTTTTGTGATATAAGGTATTATGTGGAGAGGAGTAAAACAGAAGTAATTTTATTCACGACATTTTTTCAGCGACCAAAGCGAGGTGAATTAGTCAATTTTCTGACAATTTTTCTTGTGTAATATGTTTTTAATCAAAATGTGAAGTATGTCAAAAATTGCATTTGTCAAACGTGACATGACAAGAAGTACAGTGTTAAAATAGCTGAAACAGAAGCGATATTTGTATTTTTCCAGTTAATTTATTTTCTCTTCACCACCTGTTGCTTTGGCACTATAAAGCTTTCCAAGATACTTTGAACCAACAAAATCATTAATATTTAGCTTTTTGTCTCAAAAACTGCGATTTGTCTCTAATAATTTTTCAATTAGAGTGTCAAGGAAGCAACTTTTTATGTTTATTTTGTTTTCAAAAATGACGGCCAACTTTACCTAATTCTATTGCCAACTCAAACAATTTTTGTTTATCATGCTATTTTTTTACTGAATTTATACTTCAGGAGGTTTTAAATTATCTTGATACTAATTCCAAGGCAATATTGTTGCTTGAAAATATAACACAGAACCTACCGAAGGACTTATTAATGTTTGTGATTTTTTTTGTCCAGTTGGCAACATATTTAAAATTTAATGAAATCAGTTCAATAACTGCCAACTGGTTTTTGTATGAAGTGGTGTGTTGAACACACTGTTAATGCTGTTATTACTTCCAGTTGCTGACCGCCGTCCCCGACCCCCGCAAAAACGTCCTGAAGGAAGACAGATACAACTCCACCAACTTCCAAACCCTGTGGGATTTCGGGGGCGTGTTCAAGTACTCTCCGCTTTTCTACGGCTGGTACACGTACAAAGAATCGAAAAAGAGCGGCTACCGTTTGCCCTTCGCCTACTTCATAACCGGCCTCGTCGCCTATGCCTACAGCTTCATCGCCACTTTGCGGAAGTTTGTATTGAAAACAGTAATATGGCGATTTATATTCAGTGGTGTGGAACTTGCAGGATGGCGGAAAACTCTCGTATGTCTAAGCTTTCAGAAAAGGATGATGAATGCATTTTCTCGTGGAAACTCTTCACGGCCTGGGATTACATGATTGGGAACGCGGAAACGGCGCATAATAGAATAGCCTCGATTGTCGTCGGCTTTAAGGAGGCTTTGCTGGAAGAAGCCGAAAAGAAGAGGGAATCCAGAAAGTAACGCACCTTTAAACAAACAAATTTCGTTTGTGTTCTTGAGAAGTGGCAGGGCCGGCTCGCTGCAAAATCGGCGGGGTCCTTTTATCTGTAGAGCCGGATCTGACGCCGCTTTCAAGAATATACGATTTCGCTTTGGCACAGCACGCTATCAGTTTTATGTTATTTGTTTTTGAGGAATAAACACGCTGATACTGTTTCCTTTGTGCGCTTTTTAATTTAAAAACGAATAATTTCTTCCAGCTGGAAGATCACAGGATTCAGGATACTCGTAAACACCGTCGTGTTGGGGCTTTTATTTTTCTCGGCCTTTGCGGTTGTTTTGGTTGTTAAGAGATCTACGGAACCGGAAGCTAGGAAGAGCGTCTGGAGGAGTAATGAGATCACCTTTGTTATGACCTTTATTTCTATATCGTTTCCGATGATATTCGAGGGGCTGGGATTTCTTGAACAATACCACCCGAGAAAACAATTGCGGTTGCAGCTTGCGAGGTAATGTAACCTGAAAAACCCATTGTTGTTTTTGAATATGAGCTTTGTGGGGCTTTAGTTGGCATCAAAGCAGGTCGATGCTGGGATGCAGTTTTTAATTAAAAACGGAAGTCTGACCCTACTTTTTTCAGATATATGTAGTCATTAAAATCCAGCAGCGTTACTTGTTAGCACGAATCGATAAATAAACTCTTTGTTTTTTTGTCGTACGTTTAAAAAAAACACGAAGTAATGAGACGCGTCAGAATGGTGTGTATAGTTGGTTGCCTATGCTGCTACCAAGTTTGATCTTTAGAGAGCGAGCATATAAAATATTTTAGGTTCGTATACATGTAATAAATTACCACCTCAATTCCCCGGTTGAAGATAAGCTAAAATTTAACAGTAAAATTTTAATTAAGCGTATCTGGAGGTAGGTAATAAACCGTGCGTGAAATTAAACAATTTCGCTATAACCAAGTGCACAATTTTTCACAGTTCAGCCAGAACGAAAGTTTTCTAAAACCGTCCTCAACTAATATTTTCACTAATTCTACGACCATTAAAAATGTGTTCAAATCTGTCGAAGAATGACAGTTCCAAAACTTAATTGCATTAATAATAAATTATTAGTAATCAGCTAACCAATAAAATAATTAAATCATAATCATAATAATCAATCCATAAAACCCCAAGATATTTACATTAATGTCTTCATCTGGTTGATTTCGAATTAATTATAATTAAATTAAATAAATTATTGACACTTAACGATAAGAATAAATACTAAACCACTAATGGAATAACTAATTATGTATTTGTAATTAACTCCAATTACGAGCAAAAAATGTTACGAAGGCAACTGTAAGCAATAAAAAAATTTACATATAGCGACTAGCTATTTTCATGTTTTCTTGATGTTTCATTACCCCTAGTGTGCGAAAAAATAGATCTCTCGTTTCCGCTGTCTATCTGTCTGACCTGTGGTTTATGAATCCGTGTTGAGTGTTTACCATAGGCATCCAGATTTTTGTACGAAAAATTAAAATTGTATAGCATTTTATAATTTAACTTTGAAATTGGAAAATTGAATGCTTTGCAAATGTTTTCATATTATCGGAAGCTTGGTAAACTATTCATAGAAATTTATTTGTTCAAATTTTGGATTCTTCAATTTTTAGATTTTTCAGTTTCTCGATTTTTCAATTTTTCGATTTCTGGATTTTCAGTTTTTCGAATACTCAGTTTTTCGACATTTTAGCTTTGGAATTTTTCAAGTCTCAGTTGCTCAATTTTTTGTTGTTTCGATTCTGGTATTTTTTAACTTTTCGATTTTTCGATTTCCCGACTTTTTGGATTTTAGATGTTTCGAGAGCTCGATTTTTGAAATTTAAAATTTTTTAAATTCTAGATTTCTCGATATTCCGATTTATCAGATCCTTTTCCATTCTTCAACTTTTCGATTTTTCAAATTTTCTAAATTTTAGATATTTCGAGATCTCGATTTTTCAGATTTTCAATTTTTTACATTTTGATTTTCGATTTTAAATTTTTCAATTTTTTCATTCTCCATTTTCATTTTTTGAATCTTTTAATTTTAAATTTTTCAATTTTTTGAAGTTATAATTTCTGAATTTTTGGATTTTTCCAACTTCTCGGTATTAGACTTCCCAATTTTTCGATTTCTTGAGGTTTTAAATTTTTGATTTTTCATTTTCCAATTTTTCAATCTTTCGATATTTCAAATTTTCCGGTCTTCCGATATTTCGACATTCTAATTTTGGACTTCTCGTTTTTTAAACTTTTTGATTTCTTTTTTTTTATTTTTCGATTTCTCGATTTTCGGATATTTTAGTTTTATGATTAAATTTTTCGATCTTAAAATTTTTCCAATTGTTATTCCACTTTTGGCATTTGTAACTTTTCGATTTGTCGATTTTTCGACTTGACGATTTCTCGAATTTTCAATTCTCGGATTTTTAAATTTTTAAAATTTTTGATTTATTTATTTATGAATTTTTCTATATTTTAGTTTTGGGATCTATCAATAATTCCATTCTTCAATTTTTCGATTTTTCAAATTTTCGACTTTTTAATGTTTCGATTTCTCGGTTTTTCAATTTTTTATTCTTCAATTTTTCAACATTTTAAATTTTAGATTTCTCGATATCTCGACTTTTCTATTTTTCAATTTTTTTTAATCTTTTAATTTTACATTTTTCAAATCTTTGATGTTTCGATTTCTCGATCTTTCTATTTTGCGACGTCTCGGTTTTAGCTTTTTGTTTCAATTTTTCGATTTATCGACTTTTTAAATTCTCGATTATTAGATTTTTCATTTTACAATTTTTCGGTATTTCGATATTTCAAATTTTCTAGTCTAGTTTTGAGATTTTTCAATTCTTCAATTTCTCAATTTTTCAACTTTTCGATTTCTCAATTTTTCGATTTTAAAATTTTTCCATTTGATAGTTTCCACTTTTGGAATTTGTAACTTTTCGATCTGTAGGTTTTTCCACTTTTCAGTTTTGGGATTTTTCAATTTTGCGCTTTTACTTTTTTTATTCCTCAATTTTGCGAAATTTTATAGTTTCAAATTTTTTTAAATTTAATTTTTTTCAATTTTCCAATTCCTTGATTTTTCAAATTTTCGAATTTTCGACGTATCGAGATTTGGATGTTTCGATTTTTCGATTGTTCAATTTCCCGATTTTTGACTTTTTGCATTTGTCGAATTTTCAAAATTTTTCATTTTTCAAATTTTCACTGTTTCGGATTTTCAATTTTTCGACATTTCAGTTTTGGGATTTTCCTATTTATCTCTTTTTTCAATTTTTTGATTCTTCATTTTTTTGATTTTCCAATTTCGATTTTTTGTTATATTTCTCAAACTTTCAGTTTTTTTATTTTCCAGTTGTTCGATTTCTTAAATTTTATACGTTTTCCGTTCTTCAATTTTTTGTTTTCGAATTTCCGATTTTTCGACATTTCGGTTTTTCCATTTTTGAAACTATTCAACTTTTCGATTTTTTGAATTTTTCGAGTTTTCGATTTCTCAGTTTTTCAATTTCTTGATGTTCAAATTTTTGGAAATTTCAATGTTTCGGGTTGTTAAATTTAAAATTTTTCGATTTGTAGGTTTTCTCGATTCCCCGATTTTTCAGTTTTTCAAATTCGCAATTTTTCGACGTTTCAGTTTTTGGATTTTTCAATTTTTCGCTTTTTCGATTTCTTTAGTTTTAATTTTTTTCATTCTCCAATTTCGTGAAATTTTATATTTTTCCATTTTTTAAATTTTATATTTTTCGATTTCTCAATTTTTCAATTTTTCGATTTCTCGATTTATTGAGATTTGATGTTTCGATTTTTCGATGTTTGCATTTATCGATTTTTCTTAACTTTCGATTCTTATATTTTGTCATTTTCCAATTTTTCGATGTTTCGATTTTCAGTTTTTTCGACTTTTCAGTTTTGGGATTTCCTAAGTTTTTAGTTTTTGGTTCTTCAACTTTTTGATTTTTCGAATTTCCGATTTCTCAATTTTTCAATTTCTAGATATTTCAATTCTGGGTATTTTAATTTTTCGATTTGTTAAATTTTTCCATTTCTCAATTTTTCCACGTTTTAGTTTGGGGATTTTGCAATTTTTCGCTTTTTCGATTCTTGAGTTTTCATTTTTTTATTCTTTTGTAAATTTTTCAATTTTTCGTTTTTCAAATTTCTCAAGTTTTCAATTTTTTGTTTTTCAGATTTCTCAAATTTTCAGTTTTTTATTCTTCAATTTTGCGAAATTTTATATTTTCGATTTTTAAATTTTTCAATTCCTCGACCTTTCAAATTTTCGATTGTTCAAATTCCCGATTTTTGGATTTTTGAATTTATCGACTTTTTGATGTTTCAATTTTCCAATTGGAAAATATTTTTTGATTTTCCAACTTCCATTTTTTAAATTTTAGGTTTTTATATTTCCCGATTTTTCAGTTTTTCGATTTCTTAAATTTTATAGTTCTCAGTTCTTCATTTTTCGAATTTCCGATTTCTGACCATCTCGGTTTTCCACTTTTAAAAATGTTCAACTTTTCGATTTCTCAATTTTTCAAGTTTTCGATTTCTCAATTGTTCAATTTCTGGATGTTTAAATTTTTGAACATTTTAATTTTTCGATTTATTAAATTTCGGATTTTTCGAAGTTTCAGTTTTGGAATTTTTCAATTTTTAGCTTTTTCGATTTCTCGACTTTTAATTTTTTTATTTTACAATTTTGAGAAATTTTTTCTTTTTCGATTTTTTAAATTTTTGATTTCTCAATTTTTTAATTCCTCGATTTTTTAAATTTTCGATTTCTCGATGTATCGAGATTTGAATGTTTCGATTTTTCGAATGTTCAATTTCACGATTTTTGGATTTTTGTATTTGATTTTTCTAAATTTTCAATTTTTATATTTTTCTATTTTCCAATTTTAGATGTTTCGATTTTCCAATTTTTTGATTTTTGAGTTTTGGCATTTCCAATTTTTCGATTTCTTCATGTATCGAGATTTTGATGTTTCGATTTTTTGATTGTTCAATTTCCTGATTTTTGGATTTTTATATTTTTTTTAATTTTCGATTTTTATATTTTTTCATTTTCCAATTTATCTGTTTTCTGATTTTTCGATTCTTCAATCTTTTTATTTTCCAATTTCGACTTTTTAAATGTTTGATTTTTATATTTGCAGATTTTTCAGTTTTTCGATTCCTTAAATTTTATACTTTTCGGTTCTTCAATTTTTTGATTTTTGGAATTACCGATTTCTCGACATTTTAAAAATTTTTCGGTTTTTCAATTTCTTGATTTTTCAAGTTCTCCATTTCTCAAAATTTCAATTTCTGAATGTTTCAATTTGTGGATATTGTTTTTATTTTTTTGGTTTTTCAGTTTTTCAGTTTTTAAAATGGTTGATTTTTTCGATTTCTCGAGATTTCGATGTTTGAGTTTTTCGATTTTTCAAAAAAAAAAAAATCCACCTGGTGATCTGCTGGGACCAGGAAAGTTGTGTCGAAATAACCTTCGACCAATTTATTCGTAATAGATATAAGTAATCAAGATTGGTTAATTAATTAGCAGTTCAATCCACTTAAGTGAAACTAATTACAGTTCGCTTAATTATTATTGGAACAATTTTCAACAAAATTTCCGAAATTTCACTTAATACATTTTCTTGTAGATTTCGGGCCGCAGAAGTCATATCCGCTTTCATTTTTTCGATATCTCTAATGGTTCTTCCAAAATCACCCTTCGAAATATACAAAAATGTACAAAATACCACAAATTATTGGACTAATTTTCAACAAAATTTTCGAAATTTCACTTAATACATTGTCTTGTAGATTTCGGGCCGCAGAAGTCATATCCGCTTTCATTTTTTCGATATCTCTAATGGTTTTTCCAAAATCGTCCTTCGAAATATACAGAAATGTACAAAATACCACCAATTATTGGACCAATTTTCAACAAAATTTTCGAAATTTCACTTAATACATTTTCTTGTAGATTTCGGGTCACAGAAGTCATATCCGCTTTCATTTCTAAGATATCTTCAATGGTTCTTCCAAAATCGTCCTTCGAAATATACAGAAATGCACAAAATACCACCAATTTTATTGGACCAATTTTCAACAAAATTTTCGAAATTTCACTTAATACATTTTCTTGTAGATTTCGGGCCGCAGAACTCATATCCGCTTTCATTTTTTCAATATCTCTAATGGATTTTCCAAAATCGTCCTTTGAAATATACAAAAATGTACAAAATACCATCAATTATCATTGGATGTAATGTTTGCATATTGTTATTAAAGTGTAATTAACTGAAATTAAATATTGATTAATTTGGATCTAAATAAGCAATCGTACGTTAAATCCCGCTAATCATACTTAACACTAGTTGATTAATAGTAATTAAGTCCACTCAGTTAGAAATATCTTAAGGGTAATTTAATTACAATAAGCTATCGAAATTATCTATGATGGAGAGGGTCTTTTCTGACATCGTATTAGAACATCAGTAGTGCTAGAAATCTGATGACGTCATTTCAAAAATTATCAAATGGAAATTCAATTTTCAGAATCATGGTCCTCAACCTCCTCAACCTCTACTCTCTCATATTCGCCCTCTTCGACAAAATCAGCGACATGGTAATAAAACCCATCCTCCTCCACACATAACGCATTTTTAAACTCTCCAGGAGCCAGAAATCGAATCCTTCAAACGAAACCTAACCACAGCGAACACGAGCCTCCAAGTGGTCCATTCAGCGGAAATGCGATGCTACAACATATGCAGTTCCGACACCGATACTCTCAAAGCGTTCAATTTAGTAGCGGCCATTGCTACCAATGTTTCATCTACAATGTATCCAATTATGCAGAAAGCACTGAAAAGTGCGACTACACCGTCTGATAATGAAACCATCGGCGCGGAATTTACCTTTCCAGGAATCTACTCGAGTTCAACGGATGCGTATGAAAATTATACAGACGACGTTTTAACGAGCGGTGGAAATTTCACCGAGTTCGTGGACGCGACACAATCGAGTGTATATTTGGAGGAAGAAACGACCGAAGGGGATTTTACTTCCGTTGTCAATTTTCCTTTAACCACGCCAAAATCGACGGGCGACGACGACGACGATGAGTATTATTACTATGACGACTTGACACCCAAACCTCCGGATACCACCACCACCAGCACCACCACAACCACCCCCACTACCACCACCACCCCACCCGAAACCACCACAACCCGCAAAATCTGCAAAGAAGTGTGTAATCATATCGTACCATCTGACAATCTAACAACCACCATTGCCACAATCATAGACGAAACAAGTCTAAACTATTCCACCAGACGTAGATTGCGAAATCTGTGTTGGGAAACCATGTTTGGTCAAGAACTGATCAAACTCACAGTCATGGATTTGGTGATGACCGTTCTGTCCACCCTCGCTATGGACTTCCTCCGGGGTATTTTCGTCCGGGTGATGAACCGCTGCTGGTGCTGGGACCTAGAGAAGAAATTTCCCCAATACGCCGACTTCAAAGTCGCAGAAAACATTCTACATCTAGTCAACAATCAAGGTTTGGTTTGGATGGGCATGTTCTTCTCTCCCGGTCTGGTGGTCATGAACGTCGCCAAACTCTTCATAATGATGTACTTCAGAGCCTGGATTGTCTTGACGTGTAACGTCCCGCACGAAATTATCTTCAGAGCTTCTAGATCTAACAACTTCTACTACGCGCTACTACTCATGATGCTGTTCTTGTCGGTTCTACCAGTCGGATACGCAATCGTGCGCATACCACCATCCGGGAATTGTGGCCCTTTTTCCAACCATCAACGAATATTCCACATTCTTACCCAAACCATCAAGAACAACGTACCCAAAATCGTGCGGGACGTTCTAGATTACATAGCGTCCCCGGGGATCGTCATCCCGTTGCTTCTGCTTCTGGTGCTCATCATTTACTACCTGGTGTCACTGACAAGTGCGCTGAGGGAAGCCAATGTTGATCTTAAGGTTGTACTTCAAGCTAAAAAAAATACACCCAAACTTTGCTTTTTTTCTAGATTCAACTACGACGAGAGCGTACTGAAGAAAGACGAAAAATGTTTCAAATAGCAGATAGAAGACGGAAAGGAGCACCCGGAGGTTCTGGCGAATTTTCAAACGCACCCTTCGCCAAATGGAAGAAACTTTTTCATACCATGCCAAGTACGGGAAAAAGTTTTGACGACACCAGCCCTAGACAAGAATCGAGTGACGTTCCCAAAACCAAAGAAGACAAACCAGAAGTAGTTAGAAGCAAAGGTACGACGCTAACACACTGTGGTCCCCAATAACATTCACCTTCCAGATATCTTCTCCAAATTTATCAAGAAAGCGCTTCGAAAGACGTCTATTTCGGAAGAAGACAACCACGAAACGGCCAATCAGGAAGAGGGTACTGACACGGAACAACACGAGTCGTTGCCGGAAGATCTAGTCAGTATTAAAGAATCCAAAGCTTTGCAGTCACCTCTCCCTCTATCTTCTGGCAGCTTTGACTACCAAAAGTCGCTCTTGCAGAAACGCAACAGCCAGAAAAGCGTAAGCGAGGATTCTAGAACCAAGAAAGACATGCGTCAAGATTCTACATCTTCGGTTTGGTCCGACAACATCCCCGTCATCACCATCAGTAAAACCGAAAGTGCCGAATGCTTAGACGTGGTACCCGAAAAAGAACCACCCAAGCCAGACCCCGAGCACAAATTCAAACCCAAAATCAAGTGTGCCTTACGAAAACAAAGCACGGAAATTGACGAAGACGTGATTTGCTACTTCAGCAAAGATCTAGATTTGAAGCCGACTGTGTTCGGGTTTGAAGATAAAGATTTGGGGGTGGTTTCCGAATCTTCGGAAGATACGGCACGTGAGAGCAGCACGGATACGGTTCTGGTGCAACCTGGCAACCCTGTAGTGAAGGAAGATGGTGAAAAAAAGGAGCAGAATGGTAATGGAGCAGCTGAAGTATCGTCTGTTAATGGAAGTGCCACTGAATCGAGTGCTGAATATAATGACATCACTTCTTTGTAAAAAAGCTATGCGTTTAATTGTTGCTTATTTGTTTCTGCAATAAAGTGTGGTTATATGTTTATCGATGATTCAACACAATTAAATCGTTCGTAACACTTCTACAGTTGGGAAAAACCTGTGTATTAGAAAAACCTCGGACGAGAAAACTTTTCTTTTTATTAGAATTGAATATGAATGATCTTTTATCACAACAATATTAATATTTTAGCTTTTTTGGAAACGCTCTGTATATCTTAGTTTTATTGCCTTCGACTCGTAAATTTCAAGAAATTCAACATTTTTAAAAATTCTAAAAACTTCAAAAGCTGCAAGAATTTTAAGCATTTTGACAACTTTGAGAATTGTAGGAATCTTATGAGTTTTAAGAACTTGAAAAACTTTAAAACTTTGAGACCTTTGAGGACTTTCAGAATTTCCAAGATTTCTTGAACTTTGAGAATTTAACACCTTTGCGAACTTCAAAACTTCAAAGACTTTAAGAACTTTGAACACTTTGAGAACTTCAAAAACTGTCTGACCTTTGAGAATTCCAAGAGTTTCGGAAACTTAACTTCGAGAATTTCGAGGGTTTCTAAAACTTTTAGAATTATGTGAACTTTGATCGTTTCAGGACATTCAAATGCCTTAAAAACTTCAAATTAAAAAAATTGTAGAACTTTTAAGATTTTGAGAAGTTCGAGAATTGCGAGAATTTCAAAATTTTCAAAACTTCAATGACTGTAAGACTTTGAGAACTTTGACAACTGTAAGAATGTTAAGATCTTTAAGAACTTTAGAAACTTGAAAATTTTGAGATCTGAGAATTTCCAGAATTTTGAGAATTTCGAGAATTTTGAGTAGGTCCTTTGTGAACTTTAAAAACTTTTTGACCTTTGAGTATATCAAGATCTTCGGAAACTTCTAGAAGTTCGAGAACTTACAGAACTTCGACAATTTTTAAAATTTCGAAGATTTTAAGATTTTCAAAAACTTTGAGATCGTTTGGAATTTCAAAAATTTCGAAAACAATGAGAGCTTCCAGGACTTCGAGAATTTCGTGGATTTCTAGAACTTTGAGAATGACGAGAACTTTGATCATTTCAGGAATTTCAAAAACTTTAAAACTTCGAATTAAAAAATTTGAGGATTTAGAGAACTTCGAGAACTTCAAAAATTTCAAAACTTCAAAAATTCTAGACACTGTAAGACCTTTAAGGACCTTGACAACCTTGATTACTGTAAGAAACTTAAGATCTTTAAGAACTTTAAAAAAATCTAAAGTATGGGATTTTTGAGAACTTTCACAATTTCAAGAATCTCTAAAACTTTGAGAACTTTAAACACAACTTTAAGAACTTTAAAAACTTTCTGACCTTCGAAAATTTCAAGAATTTCGGAAACTTCAGAAGTTCGAGAACTTGCAGAACTTCGAGAATTTCGAAAATGTCCAAGATTTTAAAATTTTCAAACACAAAGAACTTTGAAAACTTCAAAAACGACTTTCACAACTTTAAAAATTTCGAGATCTTTTAAATTTCAAGAACTGCGAAAATATTGAGAACTGCGAAAATATTGAGAACTTACATAGTTTGGAGAATTTCGAGGAATTCTAGAACTCTAAGAATTGTAAGACCTTTGACAATTTTAGAAATTTCAGAAACTTTAAAAGCTTCAAATTAAAAAAAAAATAGGAACTTTTAAGGACTGAGAATTTCTAAAATTTCAAAAACTTTGAGAACTTTAAACACAACTTTAAGAACTTTAAAAACTTTCTGACCTTTGAAAATTTCAAGAATTTCGGAAACTTCTAGAAATTCGAGAACTTGGAGAATATCGAAAATTTCGAAGGTTTTAAAATTTGAACTTGAACAACTTTAAAAACTTAAAAACGACTTTAACGATTTTGAAAACTTTGAGATCTTTTAGAATTTGAAGAACTTCGGAAACTATGAGAATTTCCAGAACTTCGAGAATTTGGAAAATTTCAAGGATTTTAACATTTTCAAAAACATCAAGAACTTCGAGAACTCTGAAAATTTTAAAACTACTTGAACAACTTTAAAAATTTTGAAATATTTTAGAATTTAAGGAATTTCGGAAGCATTGAGAACTTCCAGAACTTCGAGAATTTCTAGAACTTTGATCATTTCAGAACTTTCAGAAACTTTAAAAACTTAAAAAAAATGAAGAATTTTAAAGACTGAGATTGCGGAAATTCCAAAAATGTCAAAACTTCAAAAACTGTAAGACCTTTGAGATTTTAAGAACTTTGACAACTGTAAGAATCTTAAGCTCTGTAAAACTTTAAAAATTTTAAAATTTTGGGACCTTTGAGAACTTTAAAACTTTTTGATCTTTGAGGATTTAGAGATCTTTGGAAACTTCTAGAAGTTCGAGAAATTGGAAAATTTCTAAGATTTTAAAATTTTCAAAATTAAAGCTTTTGAGGAACTTCGAGAATTCTGAGATTTTTTTAAAATTCAAGAACTTCGAAAAAGTGGAAACTTCCAGAACTTCTAAAATTTCGAGGATTTCTAGAATTTTAGAGTTATGAGAACTTTGATAATTTCAGAAACTTCAAAAACCTTAAAACCTTCAAGTAAAAAATTTAAAAACTTTAAGGACGTTGAGAATCAATGAAAACTTCAAGAATTTCGAGAACGTCAAAATTTTCAAAAATTTCAGAAGTTGAGGAGCTGAGGAGCTTCTAAGGACTTTGAGAATTTTGATAACTGTAAGAAACTTAAGATCATTAAGAACTTTGAGACTTCGAGAATTTTTAGAACTGTGAGAATTTTGATATCTTTCGAACTTCAAAACTTTAAAGCTTTGAGAACTTTGTGCACTTTGAGAACTTTAAATACTTTAAGAATTTTTGAAAATTTCAAGAACTTCGAGAACTTGGAGGACTTCCAAAATTTCGAAAATTTCCAAGATTTTAAAATTTTCAAAATCTAAAAACTTCGAGATCTACAATTTCTAAAACTTCGAAAACATTAAGATCTTCCAGAATTTGGAGAATTTCGAGAAATTCTAGAACATTGAGAATTGTGAGAATTTCGATCATTTTAGAAATTATGAAAATCTTAAAAACGTCAAATTAGAAAATTTAACAACTGACGACTTTGAAAATTTTGAGAAATTCGAGGATTTCAAAATTTTAAAAACTTTAAAAACTGTAAAGTCTTTAAGGATTTTGAGAACTTTGATAACTTTAAGCATCATACGAACTTTAAGAAATGTAAAAACTTTAAAATTTGGAAACTTTTGATAATTTTGATACCTTTGAGAACTTCAAAACTTCAAAGACGCTAAAAACTTTGAGTACTTTGTGAACTTTAAAAACAACTTTAAGAACTTCAAAAGTTTTCTGACCTTCGAGAATTTCAATAACTTCGGAAAAATTTAAGAATTTGGAAAACTTTTGAGATCTTTAAAATTTTCAAGAACTTCGAATAGAGTGAAAACTTCCAGAACTTGGAGAATTTCGAGGATTTCTGGAAACTTAGAATTGTGAGAAATTTGATCATTCCAGAAATTTCAAGTAAAAAGTTTAGTTAAATTTCGGGAATTTCAAATATTTCAAAACTGCAACAATTTCAAAAACTGTAAGACCTTTAAGGACTTTGAGAACTTTAGCAATTGTAAGAAATTTAGGATCATTAAGAACAATTTGAGACTTTTGGGAACTTTCAGACTTTTGCGAATTTATAGAACTGTGATAACAAGCTTTGAAAACTTCAAAACTTTAAAGCTTTAAAAACTTTACGCACTTTGAGAACTTTAAAAACAACTAACAACTTTAAGAACTTTCAGAGCTTTCTGACTTTTGAAAATTTCAAGAACATGGGAAAGTTCTACAAGTTCGCCAACTTGGAGAACTTCGAGAATTTCGACAGTTTCCAATATTTTAAAATATTTAAAAAGTTTTAGAGCTTTGAGAACTTTGAAAACTTTAAAACCAACTCGAACAACTTTGAAAACTTTGAGATCTTTGAGAATTTCAGGGACTTTGAAAACATTGAGAACTTCCAGAACTTCGAGGATTTCTAGAACTTGAAGAATTATGTGAACTTTAATCATTACAGGATTTTCAAAA